TTTTTAGCAAAATTTTGATCAGAAAGATGTGTATCAAATGTTATAAAGTATAGGCTTTATAGGGTTAATAACATGCATCATGCATCAAAAGGAGAGGAAATATCTTTAAAAACACTTAAGCGTAAACATGTTTTTTGTGAACCAAAGTGTGTTTTGTGCATGTGAGAGATTATAGAACAACTTTAAAAGGTATTGGAGAATCCCTCCCTATCAGGTGCATTTGATCAGACCTAAAAGAGCAACGAGATGCTTATATGCATACAATGTCTGTTTTTATTTGAAACTCAAATGAGATTATCAGACGAAGCCTTTTTGTATTCCAAATAAATATAACTCAGATTGCTCATGGTACATTTTGCTCATGCGTGTCTGTTATGTAAAGCACACGCGTTTCTGTTTCTCCGTACGTCCCGCAGCATCAGACAAAAGCCTCGGCGTCTCGGGATGCTGGAGGAGACGGTATCTTAGCAACGCTGGCACCGGAGACAATGAGACGAGCGCTCCGAATACGGACCTGAAGGAAACCCACTTAGATCCAGCGATGAGCGACGCGATCATCTGAGAACCGCAAAAAATATTCTTTTGAAATGGAACATCTTATTGAATATTATATATATATAATGCACATTTAAATATTAATCAAAAATAAAAAACATGAATATAAAAAAAAATTGCATGTGTTTTTGTTGAGCACGTACAGGCTTTTATGGCTCATATAGTCTGAGAATATGGAGGAAAAAACGGCTCAGGTTTATTCAGAGGCCCAAACTGAGCAAAAATATGTCATTTGGTGCAGATGCTGGAATTTATATGGCCAAAAAGTGATGAAATTCTGATGCATGTAATGTAAATCAATGAGATCTTTATAACAGTATAGTAGATAATTACATAAAATGATACAAATACCAGCCGTCACTCTATATCTCCAATGATCTGTCTCAGTAAGATGAGTTTGAAATGATCCAAACATAAAATGCAATACGATCCAATGATAACTGAGAGATGAACAAATAAACGTTCCTCAGAAGATGTGAGATGTTCTGGAGGCTTGAGAAGATCAACAGTGAAAGTAAACGTTCCTCAAAAGATCCTGATGATCAGATTTGAGACACACTGATTTTTCTAAAACATGATTGATGGAGAATCAAATAAAGCTGAGCTGCTTCAGTCCAGTAAGTGTTCATCTGGAAATACTGATAACGATCCCAAAGTTATTTTTATGTTCTCTTTATAAAAATAAGATTTGACAGCAAAAAGTTTGTATACTAAAAGAGCTTTTACTTGCTAAACAAGTCTAAACTATTAATCAGATGACAGAATGCATGTAACAGATTGTGTACAACAGGTTTTTTTTTAGCAAAATTTTGATCAGAAAGATGTGTATCAAATGTTATAAAGTATAGGCTTTATAGGGTTAATAACATGCATCATGCATCAAAAGGAGAGGAAATATCTTTAAAAACACTTAAGCGTAAACATGTTTTTTGTGAACCAAAGTGTGTTTTGTGCATGTGAGAGATTATAGAACAACTTTAAAAGGTATTGGAGAATCCCTCCCTATCAGGTGCATTTGATCAGACCTAAAAGAGCAACGAGATGCTTATATGCATACAATGTCTGTTTTTATTTGAAACTCAAATGAGATTATCAGACGAAGCCTTTTTGTATTCCAAATAAATATAACTCAGATTGCTCATGGTACATTTTGCTCATGCGTGTCTGTTATGTAAAGCACACGCGTTTCTGTTTCTCCGTACGTCCCGCAGCATCAGACAAAAGCCTCGGCGTCTCGGGATGCTGGAGGAGACGGTATCTTAGCAACGCTGGCACCGGAGACAATGAGACGAGCGCTCCGAATACGGACCTGAAGGAAACCCACTTAGATCCAGCGATGAGCGACGCGATCATCCGAGAACCGCACTGTCTCTCGCCTCGCTATTAATAATTGAGTGAAGATCAACTTTCAGCTCTGAGGAATCTGCATTCAGCATCTGCATTCTTATTGCACATATTTCTGTCAGCCTGATAAAGCAAACATACTGCTTTTGCACCAAGTCACAATCAGAGCCTGTTCTGACTAACTACTGTATCCACCTAACAACACCCTAGCAACCACTCAGATCACCATAGCAACCACCTAGCAAGGCTTTAATACCCTTCAAAACTTCAAATCGCACTCCAGAAGTGTCCAAATTCAGCCTAACTTTGTAGATCACCTGTCTGATTTTCTCGTTCGGCATTCAGTTCTAAAGCACGTAAACACTGCGATTCACTCTCTCTGCTCATTTATAACAGGCCACTAGATGAGCAACAGGTACAGCTCAGAACATTTATAACCCACTAATAGTTCTTTTGATTATTCATGAGTCAAATTTCAAAATTTGGCCGTGTTAACTACAGTTTCACTCAAAAACTGTAAATAGGCCAATACATAGAGGTGTTTGCTAAGTCAAGCAGATTATTGCTCAATTTTATGATTCATTAATGATTCAAACAAACCTCTTCATTAATACTAAACATAATTGCATACATTTTAATATATTTAATAAAGAAAAACACTATATCTAGACTTTTTTATGTACTTGGGACTTGTAAGAAACAGATATATATATATATGCCTATATATTAATGCTGTCAAATCGATTAATCGCATCCAAAATAAAAGTTTGTTTACATAATATATATGTGTGTAGGCCTTAGAAACATGTATTTATATAACACAAACTTTTATTTTGGATGCGATTAATCTATTTAATATACATATATATCCTACACATTTCACAAATTCTGTTTTTTTCCGCAGTTTTGAGTTTATATTTCACTATCTGGACTTTTCTTCTCAGAATTGTAAGTTTTTATCTCCTTTATCTCTATTTTTTTTATCACGTCAGAAATAAGTCATAAAACGGCTAAAACAAACTAATAAAGACAAATTTCTAAAAAACTACAGACTAATTATTTTTTTAATTGACAAAAACACACAACACGGTTACTAAAACTTTAACCAAAATTAAAGTGAAAACACAAAACTATAATTGGTATATCAGTAATTCTACAGCAACAGAGGCACCATAGCGTCAGTGTATAAGCTCGTGTTTACCATGGTTATTTATTGATTGATTGGTTGATTGTAAAGGACTTTAAAATGTCAATGTACATAAAGTCACATTATGATGATCTTGTAATGAATACTACAAAACAACAGTACTACGGTCTTCTTTAATCATGATGTCTTGATGCTCTGTGTATTTTGTGTAGATGCAGATGATGAGTGCACTAGTGATCCAGAGGACACAACAGATGTGCGAGCGGTGAACTCACCAGGTTTGTGACTTCATCCCGACGACAGGCCCCTGCGGCTCCGGAAGCTGCTGTCCCAGCATGCATCTGCTGCACACATGCGGATTAACTGCATTTCACAAATTCTGTTTTTTCCCGCAGTTTAGAGTTTATATTTCACTATCTGGACTTTTCTTCTCAGAATTGTGAGGTTTTTATCTCTTTTATCTCAAATTTTTTTTTTATCATGGCGGAAATAAGTCATAAAACGGCTAAAACTAATAAAGACAAATTTCTAAAAAACTACAGACTAATTATTTTTTTTAATTGACAAACACACACAACACGGTTACTAAACCTTTACCCAAAATTAAAGTGAAAACACAAAATCTAAAAGTAAAATTGAATTCAAAATATCTCCCGAAACTATAATGGTATATCAATAATTCTACAGCAACAGAGGCACCATAGCATCAGTGTATAAGCTCGTGTTTACCATGGTTATTTATTGATTGATTGGTTGATTGTAAAGGACTTTAAAATGTCAATGTACATAAAGTCAAATTATGATGATCTTGTAATGAATACTACAAAACAACAGTACTACGGTCTTCTTTAATCATGATGTCTTGATGCTCTGTGTATTTTGTGTAGATGCAGATGATGAGTGCACTAGTGATCCAGAGGACACAACAGATGTGCGAGCGGTGAACTCACCAGGTTTGTGACTTCATCCCGACGACAGGCCCCTGCGGCTCCGGAAGCTGCTGTCCCAGCATGCATCTGCTGCACACATGCGGATTAACTGACGGCTCCAGCTGTTCGGCTTCAACCGAGACTCCAACAACAACCAGTGCAAATACAACCAGACTAGTGCTGTTTAACCACAGCAGGCTGCATGCAATCAGGTCAACCTACTACTAACATGCCAAAAACAACTAAATCTGACTTCACCATCAACCAAAATGCCTGTTTTGCATAATAGGATTTTATTAGTTTAATAGGGATATATATATATATATTATTGCACTATTGTTCTATTTGATTTGTTAATACTACTTATTTACTCCACTATTGTTATTTGATGTAAGCAATTGAAATGTTTTCGTAATGCTAAAGGAGTTGAATTAAAGTCTATGAGCGCCCTCTGGTGGTTAGATTAAATGCATCTAAAATGACACAAATTAATTTTAGTTTTTGATATTGTTATAAAACTCAAAACTTTACAACCAAACACAATTATTAGACTGTGCTAAAATATTTAACACAATTTTAATATTTATAAATGTTTAAATAATACTAGTTAGCACATAAACTATGAAATAAATATTAATAAAATAATTATGAAGTAAAATAAAAAACAAACTAAATAAAATAATACTCTGAAAAATAAACTGAGAAAAAAAACAATGATAGTGTAAAAATGAGATAAATAAACTGAAATATTAAAATAAATGAAATTAAAATTCATAAGCCTTAAAATAATGAAGTAAATGAAAAATAACAATAAAATAAAATGTAAATACAATAAAAAATAAACTAAAATAAAAAAGAAATACACTGAAACTGAAATAAACAGGAAAAAAATAGTGTGAAAATTAATTAAAAAAGAAAAAGATAAAAATAAAAACTAAAACTAAATTAAAACATCACTGCTTTAATAACCTTGACACAATAACATAAATCAATACTGACCTGTGCAAAGAAAGGAGAAGCAGGAGTTCAGTCTTTTTCATTTATTTGGTGATATGTCACAGGTGACAATAAACTTACAGGAAGTTATTTCTGTATTACAAATAAAGTATCATCTGTACATAGAGACAGCTGCAGGAAATAATCCAGAACAAAACCAAAACCAACATGGATCAGCTGGAGTAAAAACGCTTTAAAAAGAGACTGGGGCAAAAAAAAAGAAAGAAAGAAAAAGAAACCGATCTAGAAGCATGAAGATGAACACTGAATGCGATGCATGTGGAGTTTGATCCCTGGTTCAGTGGCAGACGCACGGCTAAAGACACGCAGATCTATGGCAGCGTTGAGCTCTGGGACGAATCGAAAACACAGAGCCGCAAATGTCCGAATATGGCACAGTCACTCGAAGTGAGAAAGAAAGACAAACCATGGTAGGAATTCAACAGTCAGACTCAAAATCACTCAAACTCCGGCTGCAAGACCCGCTTGTAAAGGCACGTAGTTTTTAAAGTAGTTATTGTCGACGTGAGCACATTCAAACATCTGATTGGACGCTGTGCGAGCGAACGAACGCTCGCAGAACAAAGACACGTGGGCTATGGGTCACGGTGTTTCTCTAGAAGTACAAAAGGAAATCAGTTCTATACTATATACAGATGTGACGTTTACACTCTAATCTACTCTCAGGCTATTTGGCTTGTTAATCGTACATCTAGTCTGACGTAACAGTGGCAGACGAGAGTCAAGCAACTACAAAAGTACGCAACAGTATTTCCTGCTACAGGTTTACTACGCCTAGATCTACGGTTTCCTCAGAGTAATATTAAATGTGACGCTCGCTATACTGTACACGCTTCGCTATCGTTCAAATAAATTAAAACTTTATTACCGTCAAACACGATTTAGGAACGTATGAAATGCAGGATCCAGATACTGTGAAAATTTCCAGATATCTGAAAATTAAGATTTATAGTGAAATTGTTCCCGGAACGGTTTTAAATAATACAAAATGTGACCTCAACTCGCAACATCCTTCATTTGTTTAATAAAATAGTCTTAAAATACCAGTAACATCAGCAATATTGCACCCTTTTAAGTTTTATATGTCAGTGAAAAAAAAAAGTCCAGGTTGTATTTCAGTCCCCAAGAAATTAAAAGAAATCAAAATCTTTTGTTTTAGGACAATTTTCATAACATTTCCAAATTCTCATTACTATAACGTGTTGGTGAAATCGTATTTAAATCAGGCAGTACAACGAATACTATTACATACAAAAAATAATAAATTATCTTTTTTTTTTTGGATAAGAGTAATGAGAATGAATTTTTTTTGCACTTTAGTCATGAGAATCTGGGGTGAAATGTGCTCATTTGTCATGAAAAAATAATATCACAATGCAACATATGTAGAATATGTTTTTTTGGGGAAAAAAATGACCTAGAATTTATAATATTCACCCATTTAGTTTATTTATCGACTGACGTCCTCCACTACAGCAGAGGGCGCTGATGGAGGGTAAAACTATTATTACAATAAATTAAAACAATGGTTCAAATGGTTAAGAGGCTGATGAGTAAAGAATAAAGTAAACAGTCATTTCTAAAACATCCCACAATGCACTTCAGCCCAATATGGTCCGTCCTTTCGCAGCAATCGCGACACAAATTCATAAAAAACTAAACGAATAGAAACCGAATGTGTAGAATATGACTTTTGTTAAACAAAATATATATATAAAAAGGACCTAGATTTTATCATATTTCGCTTGTAAATCAACTGACGTCCTCCGATACAGCAGGGGGCGCTAATCAAGGGACAAAATGTAATAAAATAAATTAAAGCAATGGTTTAAATGGTTAAGAGGCTGATGAGATTTCCTCGTTTAAACAGTAAACAGTCATTTATAAAACATCCCACAATGCACTTCAACCCGATATTGGCCGTCCCTTTGCAGCGATCGCAACACAAATTCATAAAAAATGAAACGAAACCGAATGTGGCGTGAGGCGATACTGACTGAAGGATGGAGTGCTGACGGGATGGAGTGAGGTTTCTGGGTCATTCTCGACCGTTACTTAAAGATGAAGTTGAGAAGGACCTGGAGGAAGATGAGGAAGAGGATGATGGCCACATCTCTATGCGTGAGGAACGAACTTTCTGTTGCCGACTGACTCGCCACTCGACTCCTCAAAGCGTTGACGCTCCTAGACGCCCGTGATGAGACAAACCAAAGTTAATATTCTCGTTTTTCAAGTATTTCTTAATAAAGTACGAGGTGAGAAAAGCCGTTTCACCTGTTAATGTCTTCCTGGGTTTTTCTGATCGACTCAATGGCACTTTGGATTTCACTCAGATCTGTTCCTTTCTTCCTGAGGCGGCTGTTGTGTTTGCTCTTGTGCCCTGAATGAAAGTTCATGATGAGTTTGTGGAGTGTTATTAGCATGTTTGTGTGTGTTTCTGTGTGTTTGACGTACTCTCGCTGCCTGAAGAGTCCTGGTGGTCCGGCTCCGGAGACGAGCAGCCACTTTCCGGACTTTTAGGTTTGTCACTCTTATGTTTCCGCTTTGGTCCCGTCACCTGAACAAACACACACACGCCGACGAGAGCAGGACATTCACACGTTTCAGTCTTTATATTGTGGTTAAGACAGTCTTGAATTGTGTATGTGATTCTCAGATATTTTTGAAAGGCTTCAAACAGGGTCCAAAATTAACTTTTTTCCACATCTGCCAATGGCAAGTGAGGTAGGAAAAAGTTTTACCAGCCATAAATATTAAATACTGGCCATGAAGCTGCATTTGTAGATTAAAAATATGCTATAATCCATACAAAATGGAATTATTAAGCAGGAATTAATTTATAATTATTTTTTATAATTATATTTATTATTTATTTAAATGCAAATTAAATTTCTAATAATTTTAAAATGCATATTTAAATAAAATTTCACAAAAAATATTGTAAAGCAGCATTTCTATCAAATGTGCTAATGTGCACATACATTCACATCTTTATATGCTTTTTTATGATATCCCAAGATAGAATAATTTATAATCATTTTTTATTACATTTATTTTTTTTTTAAATGAAAATTTAATGTCTTATTATTTACTACATTTATTGTTTATGTAAATGCAAATTTTATTTCTAATATTTTTTATTTATTATTTATATAAATGCATACATTTTTATTTATTGTTACATTCATTATTTATTTATATCTTTTGGAATATTACAAAAAATGCTGTAAATAAAGCAACGTTTCCATCCAATGTGTTCAAGATTTAATGTGCAAATTTTGTTAATAAGCGTTTTTAAATACAATATCCCAAGATTCACAAACCAATGTTAATTTTGGACCCTTGCTGCAAAGACGCATCCTTGATGCAACCAAAAAAACAAACAAAAACCACACAGGCATGAATGTGAGTCACTTGCAAATGCCAAAGAGCACAAAGAAAAAAACTAAAGCTGAAAATGAGGCAGAACGGTCATGTGACCAGGCCAGGCAACAGATGATTGGTTGCTTTGCAGAATGGTGATTGGTTGTTTGAAGAATGGACAGAGAGCGCAGGCGGCGGCAGGCATGACGAGATGGAAGCAGAGAGGGGGATTGTGGGTAGAACGAGGGAGGGGTGGGGACAGAAGGACGTACCTGGCTCAGGTAATTGTCCCTCCGGGAGCCCTGCTGGGTACTGAGACTAACTACACTGGCTGAACGTACCATAGGCGTCCTGTGGCGCACTTTGGTCTGAATAAAGCCGTCTTTCTCGAACTGAATCAGATCGTTGAGCGGATCCCACGGACGAGTGCTAGGACACAGAGAAAGACACCGTCCTCACAGTAAACGGGACATGCTACAGTGCACTTCCTGTCCAGCAGGGGGCAGCAGCTGTTATGAAAGGAACAGGCAGGTGTGACTTACTCTGCGTAGCGGTAATGCCACTCTCCGGTGGCCGGGTCCTGCTCGAACAGAGCGGGCGTCCACTCCTCACATTTGGCCTTGCGTTCGCGTGCCGCTTTCCTCTGAACCTCCTCCAGGATGAACTTCTCATTGGTCGCCTCCGTCTGGTCCTTGTTATTGATGGCCCGTGTCACATGTTGCCACAGCCTGAAGATGACAGAGAAAGACGTTCGTTTTCCTAATTAGGGACGCAGAGCCCTATTAAATGCATTTTGTTTTGTTTTTTTCAAATTCTGTTTACATTTTTCTAGATTTTTATTTCTCTCTGTATTAGTTTTTCTGGATTTTATTTAAAATTAAATTTTTCTTAAACATAAAATAATTTTTTTCTGGATTCCATTTTTAATTTAATAATATAATAATACATTTATTAATTTAAAACAATAATTAGAGCATTAATAATTAAAAAATATTACAATAATTTAATCATTTAGTTTAAAGTTTCTGGATTCCATTTTAAATATATATTTTTTAATATAATTTTTTTTATTCAATTGTTTTTGTTTTAATTCCATTTTAAATATAATTGGTAAAAAATATAAAATTATATTTCTAAATTCCTTTTTAATGGTTAAATTAACCTTTAGTATTGAAAAAGCATGTCTAATTAATTTAATTGTTTTGCAAATTCTGTGTTTTCCTTTTTATTTTTCTGGATTGAAATGGTTTAATAAAAGGTTAATAATCAAAATCATGTCTAATCAAGTGAATTCATAAAGCTGCAACAATTTAATAATTTATTAAAACTTTACAATAACAGGGCCCTATGAAATGTTTTCAGAAATTCTGTGTTGTCTGTTTGATTTTTTTTTCAAATGTAATAAAAACTGTAGTAAACAAATGAATGCATGAAACCAATTGAATCAAAAGAAAAAATGATCAATTCTTTTAATTTCCTTTCATTTTTAGAATTAAAACATGGATGAAAAATTGTGTTATATTATTTAAAATTTAAGTTTGAATAATTGTATTATTATTTTTAGTAGTAGTAATAGTATTTTTGCAGTTTAATAGTCTTTTTGTGGATTAAAATTTACAGACACTAGTCCATTTTACAGTTTGGTTAAGTATACAGCCCTACTTTTGGATTTATTCATCAAAAGTGGTCAAATTCCTATGACATGTTGCATTTTCTGCACTGTGTAAATCACAGGGTCCTAATAAAGCGATGAGCATCGTTACCTCTCGGACTCAAACTCGCTCTGTTCTTCAGGAGGGACGGTGCAGCGGATCAGACGGCTCTGCCTCAGCTCCGGCGTCGGGTTCCAGAACGTCTCCATCTCACCCGTCTTCTTATCATTGATGAAGACTTCACTGTCCTGTAAAACACACACACACACGATGACATTAGGGATGCTCCGATCCGCCTTTTTCGCTTCCGATACCTAGGGTTCAGTATTGGCCGATACCGATTCCAATCCGATACTAGTGAAGTTTTTTCCCCTCATTTAAATAAATGTAGAATTTATATATCTCTGTGTGTGGAGCTGATAATCATTCTTTCACAATCTACTAGATACAAACTACTTCATTATAAAGAAAAATAAAATAAACAAATATGAAAAAATATAGGCCTATGTATATTTATAATCTATGACAAAAATGTATCATAAACTAGGTTAGTGGATAATTTGGCAGCAAAAGTTATTCTAGAAAAATCAGTGCACAATAATTTTAGAAATCTAAACATTACAGTCTATGAGCACGAAGCGCTTATAATGTGCGCACATTAAGCGCTTCGTGTTAAAAACTGGAAAGCACAAAGGGAAGAGAAATTGATGCGTAGTGTATTATATCTGTGCAATAGTTATTGAGCCTTTCTTTTAACAGTTTTAAATTTCAGTTACTGTGCACGTTAAAAACAATTTATAGTCTTTTCTACGCCCGTATTTTGTTCGCACAGACACCCGATAGCAAGCACCAAAACATTAAACTCCGGCAAGAAGATAAAGTCCTTTTTGCAAAATCATAGACATGCATTTACAAATCAAGTATAATGGGAACACAGAATGATCTTGGAGAGAGCTTTACCGAGCTGACTGCTGTAACCGAACGCGACCAGTGTTTAAAGGCTGAACGAATGACTGACAGCCACAGTGGAGAAAAGAGTTTGTGTGAACTTTAATGTAAGGACTTAAATATTCATATGTAGCTCTAAATTAAGCTATCGTATGGCTTCAGAAGTAACACAGAATAATTTGCACAATCGGAAAAAAAAAAATCTCGAATTTGGATCGGCTCTCTCTGCCTGATACCCGATCCGAGAAAAATGGCACTATCGGAGCCGATACCCGATATGAATATCGGATCGGCGCATCCCTAGATGACATATGACCTATAAAAGACATCTAAGAAGCCTTAGTTTCAGGTCCAAACACATTTAGACATGCTAAAATCATTAGCCAGAATTATCACTATTCCAGCTAAGAACCGCCCACTTAGTTTGATTGACAAGCAAAGTGACCAAACACATTTTCGGATTTCTATTAGGGCTGCTCGATAAATTGCATGTGATATTTAATGCACATCTTGTCAGTAATGCCTGTTCTGTAATCAGCGGTAAATCTCCATCACATGCGTGCTTTCACATGGAGCAGCATTTACTACACAGAGCCATTGTTCACTGACAAGTTGCGCAAAACCACAATCATATTTTGTGCATGTTTTGCGCAACTTGTCCAGAACCGGATATACTGACAAGATGTGCATTAAATATCGCATGTGATTTATTGTGCAGCCCTAATTTCTATGTAAGCTTCACAGCTGATTTCTTGTGATTTTTATGTGCAGACGGTCTGGTTTTTGACTGTTATACTCACCCAATGCCCCTCAAGTGTCGCCAGCACCTCCTTCCCGAGCTTGATCTTCCCGCTGATCTGATTCACGCTATCACTGCTGCCGAGGAACGGCTGATGGACAGGGAAATATCAGTCATGCCATTGAAAAGAGTCACATGAATCATCGTTCATTTGTGGATGTTGTGCCGTTATCGTTGTGGCATTTGGTTTGATATGGATGTGATGTGTGTGGCCTTTCTCTCTGCACCCCACTGTTCTTCTGAATGTCACAAAAGCTCCCTGGCATGAGCGTATAAACACACACACACCTTGAGTCTGAACTCCAGTTGAGCGCTGTAGCCCGTCTTCTCACAGGCGATGGACACCTGACCGCCCAACTCCAGAGTCATAGTCCCGTAGAGGATCCCTGAGAGAAACACAGACACAGAATGAGTGCTAATCTGCTTGAGTCAGTGGTGTTTATGAGTGTCAGTGAATACACCTGCGTGTGTGTGCAAGAGTTATTTTATATGCACATGTTTTATTTTATAAAACTGTCTTACAACAACGCACAAATCACGTTACTGGACAGACAGACGGAAATACACGACGCTTGCTAAGCTAGACCTTAGTCTCCAAGAGATGGGTTTTTGGTAACACTTTACATAAAAAATTAAAAATGAGCAAGCTTAACAGATAATAAATAAATATTTATAACAATAATATAAGACAGACAGACACGACGCTTGCTAAGCTAGACCTTAGTCTCCAAGAGATGGGTTTTTGGTAACACTTTACATAAAAAATTAAAAAATTAAAAGCTTAACAGATAATAAATAAATATTTATAACAATAATATATATATATATATATA